GTCAGACCTTTCTCTTCAACATCTCTTTGTACGTGTATTAATGGAGGGATGGGTGGGTGGGAGGTTGGAGGAAACCTCCCCCTTTCGCGCCTGGTCCGCATCACCAACTGACCCTGGGTGGTGTGGATAGTCTGGAGGTAGGGGTGAGAAGACACCGAGGCCCGGGCGTTTGGAAGCCGAGGTGCGCGTTCCCAGAAGCCTGGGCCCTGGACCTTGGCCCGTAGCCAGGCTGGCTTGCCTGGCACTGCCGTTCTCCTGTGGGCACAAGCCAGGCCCCGCCCTCCCAGAGGACGGGGTGGGGGTGGGGAAGAGCTAGCCGACGCTGTGGGAACTGATTACCCAGAGAAGAACCCAGGCAGGCTGGGCAAGACTCCAGGGGACAGGATCCTCCCTGCCTCTTCTCACCTTCCGGTCTCTAAGGAAGGAGGATGTCTGGAGTCCCCCCTGCCAGTAACTGTCAGGGAGAACAGCAGCAGCCGGGAGAAGGCTCCAGGTTCCAGGTGGTAGGGACCTTGGCTGGGGAAGGAGGGAAGGTATAGGCACAGCAGGGCTTGGCACAGGGGCGCTGGCACAGGAGATCCTGGGCATTTCTCCCAGCGTGGGTGCTAGCCTGACAGGGGGTGCCCTTCTTTCCCTGAAAACTCCTTTCTTCCACGTCTTTAGGGGACGACCCAGGAAGAAAGGGAGTCATCCCCCAACCTTTGTAATTTCTGCTACCTAAGCTCAGGTGACCAGCTCTGGCCTGGGGGCGGAAGGGATGGGGCTAGAGAGCGTTTTCTTAAAACCTGGTGATGGTCCCTCTGGGTAGAATCCTTTCTTAGGGTGAGGGGAAGTTGTGGCTCCCTATCCCCGGGGCCCAGCAGGCGTTCAGTCTTAAAGTGGGCGCTGCCAGCTGCTTCCCTCTTCTCCCCTCACTCCTGCTGTGAGCCACTGCCTCTAGTTGTCATGGCAACTGAGAATTAGGGTTTTCTCCAGCAGTAAGTACCCCGGAAGGCAAGGGGAAGAAGGGTAGTGGTGCCCCCCTGCACCCTCCCCTGGAGAATAGGGAGCCCCGTGCTTTCCTTGTCTCAGCTCTGCACTAAGAAGGGGCAAAGGGAGAAAGAGGAAGTCAGGGAGGCCTTGGGAAAGTATCACTTCATTTCTGTCAGCCAGAGAGACAAATGTTTGTAGAGAATCTACACTGGCTAGGGTTGGGATCCAGAAGCAAAACAGATGTAGTTCTTGACTTCATGGAGCTTACAGTCTAGGAATGCTCATCTTTCCTGCTTTTGACTCAAATTCTGGACTCCTACCACCCCCAAAATAAATAAAGGACAAATGGCAGGCAGAAACACAATTTTTTTTTTTTAAAGAGTCATAAAACCTGGGTGTTCAATGTAGCTCTCTTTATTAGCTTCGTGACCTTGGGCAAAGCAATTAACCTCTCTGATCCTCCGATCTCCTCCTCCTGGGAGAAAGGGGCATGAAATATCTGCTCTTCCTGCCTCCCAGGACTGTGGGATCATGCAGTCTCTGGGGAATGCCCTGACCCTGAGGAGAGGCCCTTCCTAATTCCTTCCCCCATTGCTTTGCCATTGTGCTTTCTCATTCTTTTCTCTTCCCTCCTCCAGGAGAGACATTTCAGGGCCCTTGCAGACCTCACCATGCCAGTTGCTGCCACCAACTCTGAGTCTGGTAAGAAGGGGCTGAGGATGTCCATTTGTATCTGTGGTTCCTGCAGTGCCAGGCAGGGACTTGAGCGGGGAGAGCGGCAGCCATCAGGCACTCTGGCAGCCACCTGTAAGAATAACCCTTCCCCCACCGCTGCTCCATCCTGCTACTCAGCCTTTCCTTCAGGCAGCTTCTATGGCCCCCGCTGCACCTGCTCCAGGGTGGGGCCAGAGACACAGCTCAACTCATCTCCGTGGAGGGCAGAGGCATGTACGCTCCAGAGATGATCCGCAGTATTGCCAGAGGGCAATGGCCTGGGGCCAGGCTGGTTGGTGAGGTGGCCCTTAGGACCTGGCCCTTGGAGGATGGCTTGGGGGTGGAGGACAGCCTGGGGCCACCAGATGGGTAGACTAAAGCAGCATGTGCCAGAGATGGGCGTGTGGCTGTGTGCGTGGAGAATGCCAGCTCAGGAAGCCTGCACTTGCTTCTGTGGGAGGTTGTAGGGCAAGGGAGCGGGTCGCCCAGATGAGCTAGGAAGCCTCAGGAGCAAATTTCTTAACCTCTTGGAGCCTGTGTCTCTTCTATAAAGAGGTTGATGTGAAACTCTAAGGCTATGAGGCGGAAAGAATATTCCTGATAGTAGTATTCACAGTTATGCTGCGCTGCTGGGTTATTACCTCAATTAGCCTGTGACTTTGGGTCCTTTTTAGGACCTAGGTTTTCCCATCTGTAAGATGAGGTTATTGGACAAGAGAAGTGTTCTTAAATTTTCTTGGTCCTGGATCCCTTTTTGAGAATCTGATGACAGCTGTGGGCGTTCCTCATAGACAAATGCTTCTCTATGCACAACATCTGCATTCCACTCTGGGGAATGCAGGAATTCCACCCTGTGTGCTGTCAGGGACCTACCAGGTGCAGATCCCTATGCTAGAGGCTATGGGCCCTCACACTGCAATCAGCTCTGGGTTTGCTCTGGTTTGTCTGACATTCCCCTGCCTGGATGCCTCCTGCCTGTGCAGCCCCTTCCCTTGCTCCAAGGCTGCTGCTGCCTCTGCAAGCCATTCCAGGCCTCCCAGTTTGGTTAGTATGTCTCTCCTGTCCCTCCCCTCTGAGAAAGTGAACCAGGACAGTGAAGGCTGCTGTGGGTAGGCTAGACCCTAAACTGTGATACCCTTGCCCTCCAGGAAAGACCTTTTCTCCGTGTAGTAGAGGAACTGTACTAATGTCCCCCAGCTTTGGCAGCCTTGGAGGGCTCAGTGCCCCCACGTTGTGTCCAGCCTGCTGAGCCCCCTGGGCTCTTCCTCTGCTCCAGGCTGCCCGGGCCCCACTGTAAGCTGCTTAGGGGTTAATTAAGCCCATCTCTGAGCCTGTGATTAAAGGCCTCTCTATCTGGGGCTGCCCAGTAAACCCATTAATAGTGCCTGGCAGGGGTGTAGAGGGGGGAGAATTTGACTTTCCTGCTGTAGGCCACTTGATGGGGGCATGGTGGGGATGCAGTGGGGTCCAGGCAGGGAGTGGAGGCCAGGGCCTGCTTACTCTGAGGACCCCTGGGGCCCCTGGGTGTTATGCCCTGGGCTACTTCTGCCTTCCCATATCCAAAGGAAGGAGGACAGGAACTAGCTGCTTAACCTCTAGGATCCTGAGTTTCCTCTTCTGTAAAAAGATGATGTGCGACCCAAGCTATGAGTCTCTTGGCCCTTCCTGCAGGCGGCCCTCTCTGCTCCCACCCTAGGCTGGATTGGCTCCTGGCATCAAAAATCTAATGATGGGCCTGCTTCTTCCCATTTGGTGGCCATTACACTTCCTACAGGCCCCATAGGAGAGACAGCTGTGGTCAGGGTCACCCGCCTCTGAGGTCAGGGTTACCCTCCCTCTCCCCGCTCCCTTCCCAGGGAGATTCCAGCCTTGGGATCTGCAGGGTGAAGCCAACAATTCTCTTCCCTATGGGTCAACATGCCTCTGTCATTGTGGAGGGGAGATGGTATGAGTGTATTCTTGCAGAGAGACCCAGGTCTACTTCTAGTAAAGTAGAAGTAAACCCCTCAGGGGCCCTTTCCTGAGGGTTGAGGACAGGTTGAAGGATATGTGGGCTATAGCATGGACAGTGTTCAGAGAACTTGCCCCAGGAGTCTCCAGACCTGGAGCGCTACCCTCTCTGCCCTCTTTACTTGACTCCCTCTTTTCTTGAATCACGGCTGGGTTGTGGGCCGTTTTGAGGTGGAGCTGTCCCTTTAAATCTCCCCTGCATCCCTGGGTTAATGTCCTGGTGTGTAAGCCCTCCTGCTGCCATGGCAACCAGGGGTGCGTTTTGACCTGGTGTCACTCCTCAGGGAATGGCTGTCTGGAGGCAGCAGCAGTTGATGGTGTCCTCATGGTACAGGGTATCAGAGGAATGGAGGCCCTGGGCTGGGGTAACTGCCAAGTCCTTTGCTCCTGCCCACCGGGGTCCCTGATGTGAGAATGCACCCTCACCTTTTCCCTTCCAAGATGCCAGACTTGCCTGCCAGGCACCGTCCCTAACCTAAGGGGAGGAGCTAGTGCGAGATGGGGGAGGGGAGGGAGCCGCTGCTGAGATGTGGGGTCAGACTGTGAGGCACCCCTCCCAGCCCAGGGTGGTGCCGCTCCCCTCCCCTCCTTTTCCTCCCTGTCTCCCCAACCTCCGCCCCCCCCATGGCTAGCAGGTAGGGGGAGACATTTGGGGCTTGAGGTATTTGCCCCGTGCCACAGTGGTGCCCCTGCTTCTGGCCCAGGACTGAGAGTCATTCTTGGGGGCTTCCTTTGATCCTGAGGAGGGCATTGTAAAGGAAACTGGGCCTGGAGAAGGAACGTAGAGGTCCGAGGGCAAGAGGAGGAAGTGGCATGCGTGTTTTAGAGGAGAGACTTCCAGAAGGGGTGGGGCGGGAACAAGCTGGGGCCAAAACCCCACCCCGCCTTGGGTTTCCCGCCCCTGGACTGTGACGGGGGGGGGTGTCTCTGAGCACCACCTCGGTTCTGAAGGGGCAGCAGGGGTTAACCCCCTGCCCCGCAGACCTCCCCTCAGCCGCCCCCTCCTGACCCCCGCTGGTGCGAACACGGGGTGGGGGGATCAGGCCCCGGGAGGACCGGGACTCTCTTTCCCACCGCCCCCCTCTCAGCTCCTGTACCGCCCCCTCCCCACCCGGCTGCTCCAGTCGGGGCTTTGGCCAATCAGCAAGGCGGTCAGGGAGACTGAGCCTTGCTATTGGCTGATCCTGCAGAGGGCGCTCCCCGAGTCCCGCCTCCTGGAGCGCTGCCCGCCTCGGGCTGCCAAGGCAGCGGCAGCTGCCTGGAGGCTACTCCAGGAGCCCCGGAGCCGGGGGTGGGGGGCAGCCATGGCGGGCAGCCCAGGCAGCGGGGCCTCCTTGGAGGGTGTATCCCTGGGCTCTTCTGAGGAAGCTGATCTCCGGAGGGAAGGTAGGGAAAGGTGGGGTGGGGGGGCGGGGGGCGGGGGGAACTGGCCACTTCATCTACCCTCCTTCCTCGGGGTTTGGGCATCTGGAGAGGGTGCCCCGGGAGCGGGCCCTCGGGAGCCTAAGGGAGCTGGCCTGGGCAAGGGGGCACTAACTCCGCCCGGGCTCTGTCCTCCAAGGCTGACAGGCTTGTGAGTCTGTAGGTGAGGATGGCTGGGGAGGGTGGATCCCAGGATACCCTGGCAGAGTGGGAAGGGTGCCTGCCCTGGCTTCTTTCCGAGGCCACTAAGGGCCTTGCAGGTGTCTGATCAATACCAAGCCCTGGCCTGGGCAGGAGGGGTCTAGAGGGCAGGCTTAGATCTTGTTTCTGGAGAAGGTGGGGAAGAGGGGATCCCTAAGGCATGTCTGCTTCTCCAGTTTCAGTGCCCCCTCCTCCTCATCCCTATTCCCTCCTGGAGGAGGGGGCACTGACAAGAGTAGTGAGAGGAGCCAGGGACTGTACCCAGGCCCCCTCCACGGCTTGAGCGCTGTTATGTAGATGCAGGCGTGGGTGGCTGGGTGGCAGAGTAATGATACCCCCTGCCCATCTCTGCCCCCAGCTGGGCACACTCTGCTCCTTCCTTCCTCCCCCCAGAACCTGCCACAGCCAGGAGCTCCCACCTCCGTGGGTGGGTACAGACAAGCCCTACCTCAGACCTCAGCGGCCACTGCTGTAGCCCAGTGTCAGGTGTTCTCATGTCCTTGGTTATGTCCCATGCCAGGCTGAGAGGTTGCTGATCCTTGGGCTGACTTGGTCTAACCTCTGCCCTTTGGTGCCCACAGCACCCGAGGGTGCCTGTCTCCCTAGCTCCTGTCAATGTTCTGGGCTGCAGCTTTGGCTTCCTATGATCTATATTAACTTCTCAATGATAATAGATCACTCTCTGTCAGAGCTGAAGGGCCTGTAGACCCTGTCTAGTTCCATTAACCCATTTTACAGGAGGGAAAAACTGAGGCCAATGAGGGACCATGACTTTTGGAAAATTGCACGGAATTAATTAGTGGTGCTATTTGTACTGGGTATCCTGTGTATGCTCTGGCCTCCTGCATGGCTGCCTGCTTGACAACACTCAGGGACACGCTCCAAGTACTCTCTCTCCTATCCCTGAGCACCCTAGGTGCAGGTGGCTGAGTCCTGAGACTTCAGTCCATCCAGAGATCAAGCGAGGAGTCTGTGGCTCTCTAGTTCAGGGCAGAACCTGGAACCTGACAACTGCTTCCCTTTCTCCCTTCCTCCCACCTCAGAATCCATTTCCTGCTTCCTAGACCCTCCCACCTGGCCAGGTTGGCATTACCTAGGGCCTAGAGAACAGGTCGAGGAAACTGTCCCCCTCCCTCACCCCTAGACACCTGCCTCAGACATTCAGGGGCCGGGAGTGCCTGTGCTGGGCAGGGGGGAAGTGCTGCTGGAGAGGGGTCATCTTCTGTGGGACACGGGGTAGGAGGGGGTGGGGTGGCTCTGGTGTGCTTTGGTCTCCTGTGCCCAGCTAGCTCCTGTGTCTCACTGCCTGCCCCTTCTCCCCAGCCATGCAGCAAGTCCTGGACAACCTCGGATCGCTCCCCAATGCCACGGGGGCTGCAGAACTGGACCTGATCTTCCTTAGAGGCATTATGGAAAGTCCCATAGTGAGATCCCTGGCCAAGGTACAGTGCTCTAGGGAGGTGGGCACAAGGGCACTGGCCTAGGGAGTTTATGGGGTGTTGGCGGTAGGGTGCCTGGGAATGGGGCATGTGGCCCAGAATACCCGTGGAGAGGCTCTGCATGAATATCCGTGCCCAGGTGATGAGTCTTCATGACTGCAGGTGGCCGGCTGTCCCGTGCCTGGCCGGTGGGAGTGTGGACATGCCCATGAAGATGCGTGTGACTGCGGCTGGTGGGGGGTGGGACTGGTGCCTGTGCATTGCAATCTCCAAGAGTTCGTCCTGCCTGTCCCCTCTGCCTTTGGGCATTTTGTGCAGATGTCTTTTTAAGGTCACCTGCCACGCTCCAGGTGGGGGAGAAACTCACTAAGAGAGAAAGTTATTAAACAATTTGGTAATGGCCATGATAGAGGCAGATGCACTAGGTGTTTTAGGAATGTAAAGGACAGATGCCTAACCTGGTCTGGGGTAGCCAGGGAAGGCTTCCTGGAAGAAGGGCCACTTGAGCTGAGTCTGGAAGCCTGAGAAGGAGGGGGAGGGCATTTGGGGCCAAGGGAAGAACTTGAGCAGAAACAGAGGTGAGAAAAAGCCAGAAGTCTTGGGGGGACTGTAAGTGTGGGTGTGAGGCTGGAGCTTCAGGTACGAGACGGGGAGTGTAAGCTGCAGACATGCTCACAGGTTGTGGAGGGCACAGGGGGCTGTGCTGGGGGCTTGGGCCTTGTCCTGTGATGTCCTGTGAGTGACATGGAAACTTTCGTGGGTTTTAAGCAGGGGCGTGATGATGGGACATGGATGTTTTAGGAGCATCCCTCTGGCAGCCACATGGAGGATGGTTGGAGGGTCATGGCTGGAGCTGGGAAGGCCAGAATTGGGGATGACCCTGAACTAGACCTGTGGTAACCTAGGGCTTGAGGGAGGGGAGGATGAAAGAAGTATTTAGGAAGCGAATTGGCAATGCTTGGTGTTTGGGTGTGGAAGGTGAGGGGTGGGTGTAGCAAGGCACTCAGGATTCTGTACAGGGGAAGTAAGAGGCTGGTGCCACCGTCAGCTCAGAGGCAGGGTTGGGGCTTGGGAGTGGGGTAGAAGGGTGCCCCCTTTCCTGGGGTAGAGGCAGTGGAGTTGCAGGGAATCATGTCTACTTGCTCAGATTTTTCAGAGAAGGGGAGCAGTTGTCTGCTGGAAATTAGGGATCAGGGTTGAACCAGTGGATTTGGAAATGAAGACTCAACCAATCGCTGAAGGGAGGGGAGAGGGACCCCACCAAAGCCAGGGAGCAGGATGGACAGAGCCCCAGACTGGCTGTGGCAGGTGCCTGACTTTCTGGGGTGGGGATGATTTAGTCCCGGGATGCTGGGAGTAAAGGGGGTGGCTTTGGCCCAGGTCTTGCGCTGGGTGTGGGCTGTGGAGGCTGAGATGCTGGGTTGGTGTGAAGGGGACAGGGGAGAGGAAGTGTCTCAGAGTATCACCTCTGGGGCCCAGACTGGGAGGGACAGGGAAGGGGACCAGGAGGAGACAGAGAGGCAGGAAGAAAACGGAGGTGAAGGCCTGGGGGCTCTCTGAGGTTGCAGAGTGTTTGGGGAGAGAGTGGAGAGCTGTAAGAGAAGGCAGAGGTCAGAGAGAGGGAGGTGGCAGGTTTCCAAGGAGGACAGCTCGGTGGGGGGGGGTGACATGACAATTTAGGGTGTGGCTGCGGTGGACAGGGTGGTCAGCAATGTTCAAGAGGCCCAGAAATGGAAGGTTTGCATGTGGGGTGGCCTTGGAATCTAGGGTATGGTGGGCATCGGGGTGGGAGAAGACCGAGGCAGGCTCAGGGTCTCCAGGAATGGTGGTGGGGTGACCAGGAAGTTGGCAATGATGGTGATGAGACAGTGGGAGAGGGTAGCCAGGTGGCAGCTTTTCCACATTGTAGGGATGTAGGGACTCTGTCACAGGACGGCTGTGGCCGGCTCCAGCATGGGGTGTGGAGGGCGAGCAGGCCCCACCGGCGGGAGAGAGCTGTGCCGGGGATGCTGTGTCCCCGGGGACACCTGTGTGTCCCACAGGTCATGGGGGGCGTTCCATGTGTAGAATGGCTGAAGCCCCAGGGAGGCTGCTAATGGCAGAGGGTATAAGTGGAATGTTCTGGGTAGGAGAAAACTGAGCAGACTGGGGTGGGAGGGGGGGATTGGAGAAAGGCAGAACGCTTCCATTCAGTGGTCAAGGATTGTATTTATGGATTAAAAATAAAAAGGAATCGAGCATGTTTCAAACAAAGAGAGTGTGAACTCGACCAGGGCAGGTGTGTCTGTCTGTGTCCTGGCTGGGGGCCGAGAAGAGTGCCCTGCACACAGTAGGTGCTCACGGAATATTTGCTCAATGAATGAATACAAACAGTGTAGGAAAAAAACCTAAGAGCCCTGTGAGTATCACCTCCAGGATGGGGATGCTTGGCCACAGAGTCTTGCGTTCTTGCTATGTCTTTGTAAGAAAGAAGAAGTGTGATGCAGTTGGTGCCCCTCCTTGGTCCCACTTCCCTGGCTTTCCCTCCCCTTAGGTGACCACTGGCTTGAGGTTGATGATGTCCTACCCCTGAATGTTTGCCTGTCTTGCCTACGGATGTGTTTAGATGTACACAATCCGCCGCTAGCCTATGGGATTTTAAACTTTCCTTAATGGAATTAGATAGCGCAAGCCGCTTAGGTTTGTGAGATTTCTAGTTCATATAAGTAATATGATTATTGACATAAGTATAGATGTAGATACAGATAGATTCATTTTATTTTATTTTTTAAAGATTATTTATCTATTTATTTGACAGAGAGAGCGAGTACAAGCAGGGGGAGTGGCAGAGGGAGAGGGAGAAACAGACTCCTTGCTGAGCAGGGAGCCCGACGCGGGGCTTGATCCCAGGACCCTGGGATCATGACCTGAGCCAAGGGCAGACGCTTAACTGACTGAGCCACCCAGGCGCCCCAGAGAGATTCATTTTAACTGTTGTGTGGTGTTCCAGTATACAAAATAGAGCCCGATATATTTGTCTGTTGGTTCTCCTACTGAGAGACAGGTACGTTGTTGTTGATTTTCCGCTATTCAGGATGGCGCTGCGGGGAGCGTCCTTGAATTCCTCTGCTTCTGCACATGTGTGAAAGTCTCTCTAGGGTGGACACTGGGCAGTGGCATTGCTGAATATGCACATTTTGACCCTTCACACCTGTAACCTGCCAAAGCTGATTTCAGAGTAGGATTTATTAGACCTCTGGATGGAGCAGGATTTAACATCACCTCTGGGTCACGTTAGCAGTTGCTTCTACAGTGAGACAGATAATGAAAGAGGGGGCTTTCAGGATGGCAGAATCTTGGGGTTAGAGGGCCCCCTCCAAAGCATGATTGCCCTCGATAGTGTTCTTCTTCAGTGTCTTGGTCTGATCCACCTGACAGCTCTCCAGTGAGGGGATTGCTGCCTGTATGACTATCACTCACTCAGTCAACCATCTTCAATTTGACGAATATCTATGGCATGCTCACTGAATACCAGATGTGGTGCTGGGGCTGTGGGAATGAGCTGTCAGAGAGTTTGTTCTCTGGAGGGAACCCAACTCTGTTGGGCTGGGACCTCACCGTACAGCCTAACTGAGAAGTTACTGATGAGGTAGATCAGACTGTAAACATAAACTCCCTTCTCCAGAATTGTTCTTGGGGATAAGCTGGTCGGAATTGCCTCCCAGGAGATTCCCAGGATGGTTCCAGATGCATAAAGCACAATAGAAGGCGGTGCGGACCTTTCTTCAATACTGAGACTCCCAGTGAGAGGCTGGTGGGCTAGGGGGACCCTGTGACTTCTCTCCATCGAGCTGTGAGACAAGCAAGAAGTGCATCTCCTTAACCGCCCCTCTGAGCTCATAAGAATCCCTCCCATCCCCGTACGTGTGCCCCTTTGCAGTGGAACTTTGTCACTCCTTCATCAAAAGGTAGAGTTTCTCCATTCTTCAATCTGGGCTTGACCACATGACTTGCTTTGGACAATGGGACCTACTTTTTACGCCTCATCGATTTTAATGATTATGTGTACAGAGGTACATTTCTAACCTAACAGACAAAAGTACTCAGATCAAAGATCCAGTTGTAAAAACTTGGTTCTTTTGGTGAAGTGGCCCATAAACTCAGGAATAGTCAAACTGGGACTGCCTTGGTAGCTATTAATCTCCTTCCCTTACCCTTGTGGAGTGGAGCTTGCCTCTCCCCTCTGGGGCTGTGCAGACAGGGTGGGAGGGGCTGGGCTGAGTAGATATAGGACCAGGGAGGGGCAGGGCCTGAGGGGACAAACCCAGAGTGTAAAGGCTCTGGAGGGAAGTCAAATGTAGCCAACAGATCATAAATCCAGGGGGTTGGCTCAGACGACAGGTGGCAGCGCTAGCAGGTGGGTGACATCTGGGAGGGCTGACTTGGATCCAGCAGCAGGTGTTCCGACAATAGGCAAGGCCAAGGTGAGCAATCCAAGTCAGGTGACATTCAGAAATTCAGGTGAACTGTTACCAGTGGGGACATGTGCCAGCTGGGAGGCCTGTGATCTAATCCATATGAGATGAGATAGAAAGAACATGGAAGAGTCACTGGCTGGCTGTGTGATTTTATTTTGTCTAACAACCTCTCTGACCTTTAGTTATTTCTTCTGAAAAGTGGGGATAATGATGTCTCTCTTTCAGAGTCATGGTGGGCATGGGGAAAGTCTTGGATGCAGAAGTGCTTTTCAAACCATAAGGAATTGTTACAATGCAGTCTTGGCCATTGGGCTAGAGTTCACTGGGAAGACTCCACTCCTGTGATAGGGCTGGGGTGAGACAATTGACAAAGCAAGACAGGGTCCTAGAAGAATGAAGGATGGCGGGGGTGGGGTGTCACTGAAATAGAGACTCTGACCAAGGGACATGACAAGTGGAAGCTACAGTGGTGGGGAGCTCAGTGTATCAGCCAGCTTCTGCTGTGTAACAAACCATTCCACAGTTTAGTGGCTTAAAACAACCATGTTTCATTTCTCATGATCTTTTTGATCATTTGGGTGGTTTTTCTGGTCTGGGCTGCTCATTTCGGGCAGGGTGGCCTAGGACATTCTCCTTCACATGACTGGTGTCCCAGCTGGGAAGGCTGCAATGTCTAGGATGGCATCCTCTCTTGTCCTCTAGGAGGGGGCCCAGGGTTCTCCCCAAGGCAGTCCCAGCAGCAAGGGAGGACAAGCCCCAAGTCCCAAGCACTTTCCAGGCCTCTGCTTGCATCACATTTGCTAATGTCCCACTGACCAAAACAAATCACATTGTCAGTTCCAGATGTAAGAGTGATTTTACCCTCTGGCACACCATTCTCTGGGACTCCTTTCAGTGTTTGAGCTATTTAATTATGAGCCTAGACTTCAAATGAGAATTCCCTGTCTTCTGCCAATATCAGAGAGGTTGGCATGGGAAGGCAGAGGGAAAAGCTCTCTAAGAAATGGCTCTGTGGTGTTTCTGCTTTTGCAGTCTGCTTCTGGCTGTGGATCAGGAGCTGACAGATCGGGATTCAAGTACCGGCTGCACCATTAGCTAGCTGTGTACTTGGTCCAGGCAAGGCTTCAGGAAAGTCTCCCAGCCAATGCTGGTGAGAGGACAAAGCGGCCCAATCCCCATGGAGGGGGGTTGTCAATATCTAACAAAACCACACCTGTATCTCTTGCTTGATCCAGGAACTTACGTGGAAGACTTCTCTACAGATAGACAACAGCTGTACCAGGCTATTCACTGCAGCTTTATTTGCAATAGTAAAATATTAGAAACAACGTAAATACCCATGAGATTGGTTGAATAAATTATGGCCCTCCAGTCATGAAGTGAGTCAAATGTAGTAATTAAAATATAATAATAATAATAATAATAATAATAATAATAATGGAAGATCTCCATGTAGCAGCTTAGAGTGATTTCCAGGGCATATTGTTAAGTAAAAAAACCAAACAACAAACCAAGCCAATTAAACAAATAAACCAAAAACCCAAGGAATCAAAGAGTGTGTATTGTGTTCTATTTTTTATGTAAAAAAGAGAAATATTTACTTATTTTTGTGAAAAGAAACAGAATAAACCAAAACTAATGAAAATCATTACCTCTAGTGTGGGTGTGAATAGGGTAGAAGATATGAGGATGGAAAGGAGACTTCCTTCAATTTACTTTTTATATAGATTTAAAATGTGAACCATGTAAATGTTGTACATATTCCAACAAAACAAATAAATTAAAAAAGAATGAGAAAAGCGAACTCTGAAACTAAGTGCAGATAAGTGAATCTATCCACATATTAAATTGTTAGCATAAGCATACAGAAAAGGGAATTAATTCTAGTTACTTTTGCTCACAATATTCTGACTGTATACCCTATGTGGGATATATTCTAAGGCTGTACTGTTTAATACAGTAGCCACAAGCCACATGTGAGTATTTATTTAAATACTTAAAATGAAAATACCGAAGTAAACCAAAATGCTGATATAAAATTAAAAGTTCAGTTTCTCAGTCGTAGTTGTCATATTGCTCAGTGGCCACATGTGGCTACCACATTGGGCAGCACAGTTGTTGAACATTTCCGTAAATGCTGTAAGTGCTTTTAGACTATTCGGAGGATAAAAAGAACTGCAGATGAATCTTGACTTTTACTGAAGTTTGTGATAGGTAGCAGCGGTTGTTTAGCAATTTTGAAATATTTTTTAATAATAGAGGACAGGACAAATAAATAAATGTATTAATGTTCTTGGGAAATAAATTATCACTGAGGGAGAAGGGAGGTACAAATACAGAATGAGAGAAGATGAGGAAAATCTTGCAGAGTTAAATTTTTAAAAAATTTTTTTATTGTTATGTTAATCACCATACATTACATCATTAGTTTTGGATGTAGTGTTCCATGATTCATTCTATGTGCATAACACCCAGTGCTCCACGCAGAACGTGCCCTCTTTAATACCCATCACCAGGCTAACCCATCCCCCCACCCCCCTCCCCTCTAGAACCCTCAGTTTGTTTTTCAGAGTCCGTCGTCTCTCATGGGTCGTCTCCCCCTCCGACTTACTCCCCTTCATTCTTCCCCTCCTGCTATCTTCTTCTTTTTTTCTTAACATGTATTGCATTATTTGTTTCAGAAGGACAGATCTGTGATTCAACAGTCTTGCACAATTCACAGCGCTCACCATAGCACATACCCTCCCCAATGTCTATCACCCAGACACCCCATCCCTCCCACCCCCGACCACTCCAGCAACCCTCAGTT